TAATTATATCTGTTTTATTTATTAAATATATCTGTTTTATTTATTAAATATATCTGTTTTACTTTTTATATTGCTTATGCTTTATTTATTATATTGTTTTTCTTTTACTTATTATATTGTTTCTGTTATTAAATATATTTGTTTTATTTATAATTATTTCTTTATCTTTTAATGATCATATTATATCTGTTTCATTGATTAATTATATTTGTTTTATTTATAATTATGTCTTTATCTTTTAATTATTAATTATATCTGTTTGATTTATTAATTATATTTGTTTTATTTATTTGAGGTGTATGTACAGGAGAATGTCTTGGTTAATGAGCGGGGTCAGCTAAAGTTAGCAGACTTTGGCTTATCTGCGCATATAGGAGGCGCACACAGAAAAAGAGGGGTTTCGATTTACAGAGGCACTTGCGGTAATCAAATACTTTCTAGGGTTTAGGGTTTAGGGTTTAGGGTTTAGGGTCTAGGATCTAGGGTTTAGGGTCTAGGGTTTAAAGGCTCGAGAGTTTCGATTTACAGAGGCACTTGCGGTAATAAAACACTTTCTAGGGTCTAGGGTTTAGGGTTTAGGGTTTAGGGTTTAGGGTTTAGGGCTTAATGGCTAGAGTTTCGATTTACAGAGGCACTTGCGGTAATTCAATTTAAAGCACTTTCTAGGGTTTAGGGTTTAGGGTTTAGGGTTTAGGCAACAAGCTGTCAGTGGATGCTGCTGTTGCAGCAGCAGCGGCAGCAGCAGGCGCTGCTGCTGGCGCCTTCGTTGCTTCTGTAGGGTTGCACCTGCTGCACTGAATGCTGGTGCTGCTGTTGTTGTTGTTGCTGCTGCTGTTTCTGCTGCAGATTATTTTTCTCCTGAACAGTGTTTGGCTCGCATGCGGTGTATTGCTGCTGAGCGGCGTCGTCAGGTGCAGCAGCAGCAGCAGCAGCAGGCTCAGCAGCAGCAGGCTCCAACGGAGCAGCAGAAGCAGCAGCTGCAGCAGCTGCAGCAGCAGCAACAGCAGCTAGCAGACGCCTTACGCAATGCAAGCAGCGGCATCGGCAGCAGCTTTGATGAGAAGAGCGACATATGGATGATAGGGATCTTAGCGTTTGAACTTTACTTTAAAGCACCTCCATTTGGTTCCCAGGTAACCTGCTGCTGCTGCTGCTGCTGCTGCTGTTGCTGCTGCTGCTGCTGCTGCTGTTGTTGTTGCTGCTACTGCTGCTGTTGCTGCTGCTGCTGCTGTTGCCGATATTTGGATGATTGGAGTCTTAGCGTTTAAACTACACATTAAAACGCAGCCATGCGGCTGACAGGTCACGCTGTTGCTGCTGCTGCTGCTGCTGCTGCTGCTGTTGATATTTGAACTGCTGATACTGTTGGTGCTGCTGCTAATACTGTCGCTGCTAATACTGGTGCTGCTGCTGCTGTTTGTGGGTGTGCTGCTGGTGGTTTCGGTGGTTGTGGCGCTGCTGACGTTGATGCTGCTGCTGCTGTTGCTGCTGCTGCTGCTGCTGCTGCTGCTGCTGCTGCAGTGCATGGTGCACGAAGAAGAGGTGATGCGGAATATCACATCGAAGCACTGGAGAGACAAAATAACAAAAGAAGCAGAGACAAACAGCAGCATCAGAGAGAAGCTTCAGGCTATGTCGCCGCAGTTCGTGTACGACCCACACATTTGCTGCTGCTGTTGCTGCTGCTGCTGCTGCTGCTGATATTGCTGTTTCTGCTTTTGTTTCTGTTACTAATAGTGCCACTGCTGTTACTGCTGCTAATAGGGTTGTTGCTGTTGTTGCTGCTGCAACTAGGGTTGTTGCTGCTGTTGCTGCTGCTATTACGTTTGCTGCTGTTGCTGTTGGTGATGATATTGCTGCTGCTGCTACCACTTCTATGACTAATACTCTTTCTGCTGCCATTGCCGCTGAGTGTTGCACCAGTTTGCTGCTTTAGCATATGCTGCTGGATCAGCTGCTGCTGCTGCTGCATGTGCTGCTGCTTTAGTATGTGCTGCTGCTTTAGCATATGCTGCTGCTTTAGCATGTGCTGGTGCTTTAGGATGCGCTGCTGCTGCTGCATGTGCTGCTGCTGCTGCTGCTGCTGCTGCTGCATGTGCTGCTGCTGCTGCTGCTGCTGCTGCTGCTGCATTTCAGGGAGTTCTTGGAGTGTTGTTTGAACCGTAAAGGCAGCAAGCGTCCGACAGCTGAAGATTTGCTGCAGCATCCTTTCTTAGAAATGCACAATACGCATTTAAAATCTTCTCTTCTTTTTTTAGAGCAGCCGAGACACCAGAGAGGACATAAAGGCTTCAATCAGCCGGAGATGCCCTGGCAGACGCCCAGACATCTACCTTAAACCTCCTGCTGCAGCAGCAGCAGATTCAACTTGCTGCTGCTCCTGCTGCAGCAGATTCAACTTGCTGCTGCGCCTGCTTCAGCAGATTCAACTTGCTGCTGCGCCTGCTTCAGCAGATTCAACTTGCTGCTGCGCCTGCTTCAACAGATTCAACTTGCTGCTGCTCCTGCTGCAGCAGATTCAACTTGCTGCTGCTCCTGCTGCAGCAGATTCAACTTGCTGCTGCACCTGCTGCAACGCCTGAAACTTGCTGCTGCAGCACCTTCAACTTGCTGCAGCAGCAGCTGCAGCAACTGCTGCTCTATGCGCTGCAACTGCTCCGCTGTATGCGCTCCTGCTGCAGTAGGCGCTGCTGCTGTAGGCACTGGTGCTTTAGCATGCATTGCTGCTGCTGTAGCATGCGTTGCTGCTGCTGTATGCGTTGCTGCTGTATGCGCTGCTGCTGTAGCAGCTGTATGCGCTGCTGCTAGTGTATGTGCGGCTGCTGCTGCTGCAGCTGTTGCTGCTTCAGGTGGGGCTGCAGCGCATCCAGCACATGCTGCAGGGACCCGTGCAGCAACGGCAGTAGCAGCTACAGCAACAGCAGCAGCAGCAGCAGCACCACGAGGTGCTGCTGCTGCGAGGTTTCTCTGAGTAAACTGATGTTTATATGCGTCATATCGTCTGCTTCGTCAGCGCCAAACACTGCCCCTAGGCGTCTCTGGCTAGCTAGCTAGCTGTATATATATATATATATATGTATATATATATATATATTTATATATATTTATATAACTACCTTGCTAGCCGCTACTCCTGGATAGCTAGCTAGCCGCTTCACGTGGCTAGCTAGCTAATGAGGTGATTAGCTAGCTAGCCACCTGCTCAGCTAGCTAGCAGCCTGATAAGCTAGCTAGCGACCCCCTCAGCTTGCTAACAGCCTAATAAGCTAGCTAGCGGTCGTGAAGTAGCTAGCCACCCCTTAGCTCGATAGCTGCTCGTGTAGCAGCTGGCTAGCCACACCCCTGCGCTCGGAAGCAAGCCCTCTAGCTAGCTGGCTAGCTAGCTATCTAGCTAGCTCTCTTGCTACCTGTCTAGCTAGCTGTCTAGCTAGCTGTCTAGCTAGCTGGCTAGCTAGACAGCTAGCCAGCATCGGTATCGTGCATCAGGAACGGGAAGTATTAAAATCTGCAGCTGCTGCTGCTTTTGGTTCTGGCGCTGCAGCAGCTGCTGCTGTTGCTGCTGCTGTTGCAGCAACTGCTGGTGCTGCTGCTGCAGCATTACCTCCTGCTGCTAGCTGTTATAACGCAGCACAAGACGCTGCGGCAGTGCGTCTAACGATATACGGACAGGTGCAGCTGCTGCAGTCTGCTGCTGCTGCAGTCTGCTGCTGCTGCAGTCTGCTGCTGCAGCAGCTCGTTCGCTGCTGCAACATCAAATGGAGAGTGTGCAATTTACTTGCTGCTGGCGCTTGCGGTCCTCTTGAGAGCATTAGCAGCAGCAGCAGCAGCAGTCTGCTTGCGTTGCTGCAGCAGCGGGTTAGGGGGTAGCGCATGCATGTAGTTGCGGTGTATAGGCAGATGCCAGTTTGTAGCTACAGCAAATTTCAAGCGATTAACAGCCCCGTTTAATTTGCCTTCGAAACCGAGTAAAGCGAAGTACGCTATAAATAACACCACCATAAATAAAGACTGACCCCCCTGAGAGCAGCAGCAGCAGCAGCAGCAGCAGCAGCAGCAGTAGCAGCAGCAGCAGGAACAGAGGTAGCAGCAAGAGCAATAATGCATGCAGCAGCAGCGAACATAGCAGCAATTACATGCCAAGTTGCAGCAACAGCAACACAGGTATCAGCAACATAAACACAAGTAGCAGCAACAGCAGCACAACAAGCAGCAGCAGCAGCAGCAGCAACAGCAGCAGCAGGAGCCACAGCAAGGCATTTTAAATCCTCAGCAGCAGCAACAAACAAAGACAGCAGCAGCAACGGCAGCAATTAACCGCAGCAACCACCGCAGCATCAACGCACACACACACACAGCAGCAGCAGCAGAAGCAGCAACAAGCGCAGCAACAACAACAACAGCAGCAGCAGCAGCAGCAGCAGCAGCAGCAGCATGTGCATTACCTCATTTTCTAGTATTCTTTCTGTAATGGATCCGATTGCATTTCCTGAAAGAAACAAAAAAGTTTCGTCTTTCGGCGTTTTGCTGTCGAAAGCAGTAAAAGACAGAGGAGAAGCAAATAAACAACAACCACCAACACCCCCTAACAAACCCTTCACTCTGCTGCTGCTGCTGCTGCTGCTGTTGCTGTTGCTGTTGCTGTTATTGCTGCTGCTGCTTCTGGCGCTGCTGCTGCTGCTGCCAGTGCTGCCGCTGGAGCCACCGCTCAATCTGCTGAAGGTCCTATTGATGAAGCCCAGCTGCTGCTGCTGTTGCTGCTGTTGCTGCTGCAGCAGCAGTGGAGAAGAGAACACTCTGCTGCGCAGCACAGCAGCAGCACGGGAGGAGAAAGCGGCCATCATTGCTGCTGCTGTTGCTGCTGCTGTTGCTGCTGCTGCTGGCGCTGCGGCTGTAGTCCGTTGTAGCTGTCTGTTGTTGTTCCTGCTGTTTGCTGCTGCTGCTGGCGCTGCGGGCGTTCTTGCTGCAGCAGCTGCTGCTGCCGTTGAGGCTGCTTGTGCAGCTCCTGTTGGTGCTGCTGGTGTTCCTGCTGCTGCACTGTAAAGTTTAGAAGGAGATTAGAGGCTGAGCTGCTGCGTCTCCGCTGCTGCAGCGTTGCTGCAATATGTGTGCAAAGATGCTGCAGCAGCAGACACCGCCCTAAACCCTAAACCCTAAACCCTAAACCCTAAACCCTAATTTTGTTTCTTCCTGATCAAGCGTGAAGTAGTGGTTTGCAGTAAACCCTGAAGACCTTGGAGCATGCAGCGTAGGATACGTGTCTGCGCCAGCGGGGCTGCTGCTGCTGCTGCTGCTAGCAGCAGCAGCTGCTGCTGCTGGTGACGGGCTGCAGCAGCAGCAGCAGCAGCTGCAGCAGCAGCAGCAGCAGCAGCCACTGCGGTTAGGGCATTGGAGGACTTAGGGATTTTGTTTTTTTGGGGGGCTCATTAAATCTGAAAGATTTCGAGTGTACGTACGCCCCAGAGGAATAACTCAGCAGCAGCAGCAGCAGCAGCAGTAGCAGCAGCAGCAGCAGCAGCAGCAGCAGGCTCCCCGCACGCCTGCTCCCCACGCGGATTCTCTTAGAGAGTTGCCGCATTTTCAGGTGTCTGTACACCTGAAGATAATAATAAGAAGTATAACTACAAGTGAGAGTTTGCTGCTAGGGGGCTGCTGCTGCTTCGTGTGTCGGCTTGCTCCTGCTGCTGCTGCTGTTGCTGCAGCAGCAGCTGCAGCTACTGCAGCTGCTGCTCGTTTCGTTTTTAGCTGCAGGGCAAACGAATTCTCCACCTCTCTCTCGTTTCTGCACCTGCTCTTTATTGCCTCGTTTGCTGCTGCTGCTCCTGCTGCTGCTCCTGCTGCTGCTCCTGCTGCTGCTGTGGGGCCCGCCGGTGGAGGAGTTGAGGGGTTTAGAAATTGAGTTCTAGGGTTTAGGGTTTAGGGTTTAGGGTTTGGGGCGTCGGAGCCTCTTCTGCGCAACCTGTTCGAGTGCATGACGCAAGAACAGCAGCAGCAGCAGCAGCAACTGCCGCAGCAGCACTGCAGCAGCAGCAACTGCAGCAGCAGCAACTGCAGCAGCATTTAGCGAGGTTGTTGGTGCTGTGTTTCTTCTATTTGGCCGGAGAGCGCTCTGTTTGAGCTGTTGCAGCGATTTGGTTAGATTGCTGCTGCTGCTGCTGCTTCTGAGTTGTCTGTGTGTGTGTCTGTGTGTGTGTGTGTGTTGCTGCTGCTGCGTTTGTTTCTGCTGCTGCAGCAGCAGCACAATGAGTGAACACGAGATGACAGAGGGAGAGAAGGAGGGGCCTCAGGAGCTAAGCAGCCCCCAGGCGGTTGAGAAGCTGCGTGTTGCTGCAGAAATTGCAAATGCGGCACTGAAGCAGGTGCTGCTGCTGCTGCTGTTCCTGCTGCTGCTGCTGCTGCTGCTGCTGCTGCTGTCCCTGCTGCTGCTGCTGTTGTTGTTGTTTTGTTATTGCACTCTTTTCTTTTGTTCCTGTTGCTGCCGCCGGAGCTATACTGCCGGGCTCATTTCTGCTGCTGCTGCTGTTGCTGAGCGTATTCTCGCTGCTGCTGCTGTTGCTGCTGCTGCTGCTGTTGCTGCTGCGTGCGACTCTCTGTTTGCTTTTGTCTTTTTTGTGTTTGTTCGTGTATAATTTGTGTCTATCTATCTGCCTCCCTCTCTTTTTTATCTTTGTTTGTTTGTGTTGCTTCTGATGTCTTGTACTTCTTCTGTTTGTTTTACTCTTTTAATTTATTTATTTGTTTATCTGCTTGCGTCTATTTATTTATTTGTTTATTTGTTTTGCTTTATTTATTTGTTTTATCTCTTTGTCTGTTTTATTTATTTGTTTCATTTATCAATTTATTTTTTTTTGTCGGCATCGGCTCTCAATTACGCAAAACCCTTTTTTAGGGTTTAGGGTTTAGGGTTTGTTGTTTATTTTTTTGTGCTTTTTATTGCTTACTATTTCCGGTGTATTGCCTCTTGTTCCTCGTCATATGTTTATTCTTTATTCCTGAATGCTAAAGGCTAGGGTTTAGGGTTTAGGGTTTAGGGTTTAGGGTTTAGGGTTTAGGGTTTGTTGTATGCAGTTGTTGTGCCGCGTGGTGCCGGGTGCTGATGTTTTTGAGTTATGTTTGTTTGGCGACAATTACATCGACGGGGAGACGAAGAAAGTGTATCAAAAGAAAACTAAATCTAAAAGCAAAATAGAGAAGGGTAACGCCTGCTGCTGCTGCTGCTGCTGCTCCTGTTGCTTGTGCTGCTGTTTCTGCTGGTCTTGCTGCTGCTGCTGTTTCTGGTGTTTTGCTGCTGCTGCTTCTGGTGGTGGTGCTGCTGATGCTGCTGCTGTTGCTGTTTTTCGTGATGTTGCTGCGGCTGCTGCTGCTCTTCTTGTTTAAGTGTTTTGCTGCTTCTATTTATGCTGTTGCTGCTGCTGCTGTTTTTCGTGTTGCTGTTTCATTGCTGCTGCTGCTGCTGCCGTTGCCCGTTAGTTTGCATATCTTTTAGTAGCTGCTTTATCACCCTTCCGTTTCTGCTGCGTTTGCTGCTGCTGCTGCTTCTGCTGCTTCTGCTGCTGCTGCTGCTGCTGCAGGGATTGCTGTGCCTACGAGTATATCTGTGAACGAAGTTTTTGCTAACTGTTCTCCTTGCGAACGCGGTGCATCTTTTCTTTTAAAGAAAGGCGATGTAGTAAAGGTTGATTTAGGAGTGCATGTAGACGGGTTTGTTGCTGCTGTTGGGTATACTGTTATTTGCTGCAGCAGCAATGCTGCTGCATTCGGCAGCAACAGCAACAGCGGAGGGGGACCCGCTGCAGCAGCAGCAGCAGCCGAAGCAGCAGCAGCAGCAACAGCAACAACAACAGAAATCTTAGCAGCCCTGCCGCCTCCAAGTGAAGAGTATCTGCAGCAGCAGCAGCAGCTGCAGGACGCTGGGAAGGAGGCTCTTGCTGCAGTAGACGGTGCTGCTGCTCTCGTAACGAAGGCTTGCTGGCTAGCAGCAGAAGCAGCAATCCGCAAAATAGAAATCGGCAGCAATGCAAGCGAAGTAACGAAAGCTGTTGATGCTGTTGCTGAAGACTTGGGAGTCAAACCTATGCAGGTACGCATCCTGCTGCTGCTGCTGCTGCTGCTGTTTGCTGTTGCTGCTGCTGCCGTTTGCTGCTGCCGTTTGCTGCTGCTGTTTGCTGCTGCTGTTTGCTGCTTCTGCTTCTTGCTGCTGTTGTTTGGTGCTGTTGCTGCTGCTTGTTGCTGTTGCGGTTTGCTGCTGCTGGTTGTGTTTGCTGCTGCTGCTGCTGCTGTCGTTGGTTAATCTGCTGCTGCACCTTCTTGGCTGCTTTTCGTCTTGAGCCTTTGCTGCGCTGATTGTTTGCTGCTGCTGTTACTGTTGCTGCTGCTGCTGCTGCTGCTGGTGCTGCTGCTGCTGCTGCAGGGGGTGTTGTGCTACCAGATGAAGCAGCACGTGATAGAGGGCAGCCGCTGCTTCCCTCTTGTTGCTGCAGCAGGCGAGGAGAAGGTTAGCCTAATAATAAATAATAAATAATAATAATAATAATAATAATTTTAATATTCATTTTATTCTTTGTTTGCTGCTGAGTGCATTCGTTTGTTTGTTTATTTGGCTGTCTCTCTTCTTCATTTTTATTATTTTGCTGCTGCTTGTGCTGCGCTTCCTCTTCTGTCTCCTTTGTCTTCATTTTAATAATTTGTTTATTATTATTATTTACTATTATTGCTATTATTATTATTAATTATTATTATTATGTTATTTATTGTGTTTATTTTTGTTTTATTTTTAAGTTTTTATTTCTTTTGTTTGTCTTGTCTTTATATTTTATTAGTTTTAGTGCCTCTCACTTTGCTGCTGCTGCTGCTGCTGCATTTGATGCTGTTGCTGCATTTGATGCTGTTGCTGTTGCTGCACTTGACGCTGTTGCTGCTGCTGCACTTGATGCTGTTGCTGCTGCTGCGTTTGCTGCTGCTGTTGCTGCTGCAGCAGGAAGACTTTACGTTTGAAGCAAACGAGCTGTATTCTCTTGATATTGTTTTGTCTGCAGGTTCGTCCTTAGATTATTTAATTTATTTTTATTTTATTTATTCTATTTATTTTATTTATATTTTATTTATTTGATGTATTAATTAGTTGCTGCTGCTTATTTATTTTATCTTTAATGTATTTGTTCTTGTTTTTGTTTATAGTTTATACTACATATTAATATATTAATATATAGAACAGCATTTATATTATATATATATATATATATATTATATAAACCCTAGAGAGAGCAAGAAGGATATCATATATAGAATATAATAAATAATATAAACATACCCTAAAGAAAACAAGATTATTATAAATAAAATAAAATAAAATTAATGAGTAATAAACAAATACAAAAAAATAAAATAAACAAATCCCTGTAGAAAAATAAACATCTCTCTCTATTCTTTTTTCTTGCTTTTTTTTGCTTCTTATATTATTTATGCTAATTAATTAATTAATTAAATTAATTAAATTAATTAATTTATTTATTTGTTATTTATTTATTTATTTATTTATTTAGGAGAAGGCCGACCTCGAGAGACACCGCAACGCCCGACAATTTACAGAAGAGCTGTTGAAAGAAAATATATTTTGAAGAGTCAGCTCGCGAGAGCATTTATGAATGAAGTAGAGAACAGTAAGCAGACATATTTATTATTATTTATTATTATTTATTATTATTTATTATTATTATATTATTATTTATTAAGCAAAAATAATAATAATATATTTGTTATTTATTCAGCAAAAGTAGTAATGCGTTTATGACTTATTAAGCAAAAATAATAATATAATATGTTTATTCTTTTTAAATATATAATATGTTTATTAAGCAAAGAAATAATTTATTTATTATTTATTCTTTTCTCGTTGTCTCTCTTCGTTTGTCTGTCTCTGCTTCTGCTTTATGAATGAAGCCGTATCTTATCTCCTCGGCATCTTTGTTCTTCACTCTATCTATATATCTATAAATATATATAAATATATATATATACATATATATATATATATATTTCTTTATTTTATCTATCTGTATATCTGTATATCTTAAAATATGCACCCGTATATATATATATGTATATCTTTCTCTTTATATATATATATATATACACATATATATATCTTTATCTATATATCTTTATATATATACATATATATATATATATATATATGTATATATATAAACTCAAACGACTTTGATGTAGATGAATATAATACTATAAACTAAACAAAATAAATAAAATAGAATAAATAAAATAAAATAAAATAAATTTAATTAATATAATTTGTTTGTTCAGACTTTCCTACGCTGCCTTTCTCTTTGCGACAATTAAGAGATGAGCGTACATCTAAAGTCGGGGTTGCAGAAGCAATGCGACATGATTTACTGATCCCTTATCAACAATTAGAGGGTAAATATTAATTTAGATTTAAATTTATATTTATATTTATAGTATTTATATTTATTATATTCGTGCGCTTACGCTGTCTTTAATGATGTCTCTGTCTTTTATTTATTTATTTATTTATTTACTTATTTATTTATTTATTTATTTATTTATTTATATTTATTTATTTATTTATATTTATTTATTTTTTATATTTATTTTTTTTGCTATTTTCTTCCTTCTTTAGTTTTGCCTCTGTCTTGTATTTATTATATTTCTTTGTTTTCTTTTTATTATTTTCTAGTTGTATTTGTTTGTGCTTATTTTATTGTTTATCTTTTTATCTATCTTTGTGTGTTCACCACTGCTGTGCATATGTTTTTAATTTATTTTATTAATTTATATTTTGTTTTGTTTTTATGTCGATGTTTGTTAATTAATAATAATAATAGTAATATATTTACATAAGTAAATTTAATATTATTATTAGTATTATTATATATATTAATGATATTATTATATATTAATAATAATAATATTATTATTTTTATTTTTTTTATTTTTTTCAGAGCGCAGTGCTGGGTTGACTGCGAGGTTTCGCTGTACTGTACACCTCACACCTGCAGGCATCAAAAAGGTTCATTAGGGTTTAGGGTTTAGGGTTTAGGGTTTAGGGTTTAGGGTTTAGGGTTTAGGGTTTAGGGTTCGCGGATTAGAGCTTTTCGTGTAGGTTTCAGGCATTACAATTATTTAAGTGCGGTTTAGGGTTTAGTCATTATTTCTTAGCTTTTAGGGTTTGAAATTTAGGGTTTAGGGTTTAGGGTTTAGGGTTTAGGGTTTGTGGTTTGTTGCGGTTACAGGTGACAGGCATCCCGTTTGTGCAGGAGAGGCTGCTGAAGGCTCCTGATGTTTCTCGTGAAGACTTAAAAGCTCTTTTGTCGCAGTCTTTGAACCCAAAGAAAAACAAAAAGAAAAAGAATAATACAGAGCAGCAGCAAGATGCCTAAGGCTGACGTATGTATGCATGCATGCAACCCCCACAGCAACACCTTCAGCAGCAGCAGCAGTACAAGTAGCAGCAGCCGCAGCTGCTGCTGCTGCTGCTGCTGCAGTAGTAGTAGTAGCAGCAGTAGTAGTCGTAGGGATACAGCGCTGCTGCTGCTGCTGAAGGCACTGGCGCTGCTGCTGTTTGATGCATGCAGCAACAGCAGCAGCAGCAGCAGCAACAGCAGAAGTCTGCTGCTGCTGATTGGGGGGTGGCTAGGGCCTCAGCAGAGGGAATCCCTTCGCGCACATTTGCTGCTGCTGCTGCAGCTGTTGTTGCTGCTGCTGCTGAGTTCGTTCCTCTGCTGCAGCAGCAGCAACAGCAGCAGCAGAGGAGTTACTTTATTTCTGAAGCAGCAGACACAGGACCTGTGCATGCAGCTGCAGCATCTGCTTGTAGTGCTGAAGAATTAATAAATAAATAAAAAGTTATATGCAAGAATAGACAAACAAATGAGGTGTATAGACAGCGCGAGAAGAAGAGGGTTTTATAGACAATATATGTAAAAGTAAATAATGATAGAAAGGCAGCAAACATATATATATATACAATATATATATATATATATATATTATATATAATATTATATATATATATATATGCGTCTAGGGTTTCTTCGTTGCATTGTTTATTCTGTACAAATAAGTAGAAACAGATAATAAGCGCATTTTATTTTTATTTATCTTATCTGTAAAGATATAAATAAATAAATAATAATACAGATCTAAGCTTTACTTCTTTATCTTTATATATATAAATTAAGATTAATCCTTATATTTATTTGTTTATATATATATACTATTAATAATAAGGGTCTAACCCTTATATATATATTTAATATAAATGTAAATATATATATATATATATATATATATGTATATATATGATATACATGTATGTACACACTTTATAGAAGGGGTTGATGCTGTTTATATTTTTGTTTTCTTTATTTCATTGATTTTGTTAATTAAATTAAATTAATTAAATTAAATAATTTAATTTAATTAATTTAATTTAATTAATTTAATTTAACATTTAATTGTTAGTTTTTCTCTGCTGTACAGCCAGCTGTTGGGGCTGCGGCTGAGAGATTGAAGTAGCAGCAGTTTATAATATAATTTAATTATTTTTAAACTATTAATAAATTATTTAAATTAAATTTATATATTTTTAATTTGTTTTAAAGACATTTAAAGAGCAGCAGCAGCAGAAGTATTGGGGGGCAGCAGCAGCAATGTCTGCAGCAGCAGCAGAGTGCTGCAGCAGATATTGCTGCTCTTCTTCTTCTTGGGGGGCAGCAGCAGCAATGTCTGCAGCAGCAGCAGAGTGCTGCAGCAGATATTGCTGCTCTTCTTCTTCTTTTCTTCGTAGGTTTTTGCTGCTAATTCAAATAAACACAAACCCTAAACCCTCAATATAAACCATTAATATGTTTTAAGTGCTGCTAATGACAGCAGCAGCACAGAGACTTCTCCTTAGGGGGCCCCTCCCTCATCTCTGCAGCAGCAGCAGCAGCAGCAGCAGCTGCAGCAGCAGCAGCAGCGTTCCTCTACAGACACAAATAAAAGTCAGTCATCAACATGCGGGGCTGCTGCGCTGCTGCTGCAGCTACCTGCATAGGCATCTGCTGCAGCAGCAACTGCAGCAAAGGCAGCATCTTCTGCAGCAGCAACAGCATCTGCTACAACAGCAACTGTTTCAGCAGCAATTGCTGCAGCAGCAACTGCTGCAACAGCAGCTGCTGCAGCCGAGTCTCTGCTGCACAACTCGCCGGACGACAGCAATACCTACGCCTGCTGCCTGTAGCAGCAGAAGAAGAAACATTTGCAGCAGCAGCAGCAGCGACAGCACAGTCGCGAGCTGCACCTCCAGCAGCAGCAGCAGCAGCAGCAGCAGCAACGGGTGCAGCGAAGCAGCCAGCAGTGATGCAAGCAGCAGCAGCAAGAGCAGCAGCATCCACGCCAGGAGGCGAAAGCTGCGACGTTCGGTTGCCTCTACGTCAGCCTCGAGCAGCAGCAGCAGCAGCAGCAGCAGCAGCACGAAGAGCAGCAAGAGGAGCAAGAGAAGCAGCAGAAATGCAGACATTGATATATGGAGGTCAGCAGCAGCTGCTTCTTTTTCTTCAATGAAGCTTCCTGCTGCTTTGCTGCAGGGAGTGCAGCGGCTGGGTCTGCTGCAGCCAACAGCAATTCAAGCAGCAGCAACGCCTTTAATAAAAGAAGTACGCAGCAGACCTGCTGTCTCCTCCCCCTGCTGCTGCTGCTTGCACAACTCTCCCGTGCTGCAGTAGCAATTACTGCTCCTGTTGATGCTGCTGCTGCTGCTGTTGATGCTGCTGCTGCTGCTGTTGATGTTGTTGTTGCTGCTTGATGCCGCTGCTGCGGTTGATGTTGGTGGTAATAATACTGCTGCTTTTGCTGCTGCTATTGCTGCTGCTGCTATTGGTGCTGCTGCTATTGCTGCTGCTATTGCTGCTGCTGCTATTGCTGCTGCTGCTATTGCTGGTGCTACTGCTGCTGCTGCTATTGCTGCTGCTGCTATTGCTATTGCTGCTGCTGCTGTGTTGCAGGGTAGAAGCGTGCTGCTGCTGTCTGGATCTGGCAGCGGCAAAACAATCGCCTATATTCTCCCGCTGCTTGCGCGTCTCTGTGCAGCAGCAGCAGCAGCAGCTCCAGCAGCAGCAGCAGCAGCAGCAGCAGCAGGGCGACCAGCTAAGCCTCACTGCCCCCGTTTGCTGATTGTTGTTCCGACGAGAGAATTGGCGCAGCAAATTGTCTGCAGCACAATTCGGCCTCTTGCTGCTAATGTTGCTGCTGCTGCTGCTGTCACTGACATCAGCAGGAGCAGCAGCAGCAGCAGGAAAGGCGCTGCTGCTGCTGGGTACGGTCAGCCACTGTCTGCATGCGTGCTGGCAGGAGGCAGCAGCAGCTATGCAGCAGAAGCAGCAGCACTTCGTTTAGGTGTTGATGTTGCTGTGGGGACCCCAGCACGTTTGCTGCTGCACCTGAAGAAGCAGAATCTGCTGCTGCAGCAGCTGCAGCAACTCGTTGTTGATGAAGCAGACACCCTCTGTGATTCCTTCTATGCTAACGAGCTTCGCTTTATTCTCAGCCTTGTTCTCCAGCAACGAGGATTCAACAGCAGCAGCAGCAGCAGCAGCAGCACCGGCAGCAGCAGCAGCACCGGCAGCAGCGGCAGCAGCAGCAGCAGCAGCAAAGGGGTGCAGCTTGTCTTTGTGGGGGCTGCGCATTCAGGGGCCCTCGCGGCTTTCTTACGTTCTTTTAAACCTGATGGAAGCGAAACACAATTTCTTCTTAAGGGCAGCAGCAGCAGCAGCAGCAGCAGCAGCAGCAGCAGCAGCTGGGACGACAGCCCCCGTATCCTTTCCGAAGTTTCGAACGAGAGCAGCAGCAGCAGCAGCAGCAGCAGCAGCAGCAGCAGCACGAAGGGTTTACTGGATGTGTTGCAGTTGGTGTCAGGCAAGGATCTGCATGCGCTTCCTGCTGCAGTGCAGCAGCAGTTTGCTGTTATTGATTCTTCTCGCGGGTTGCAGCAGATTGCTGATTGCTTGGGGAAGCCGTCTCATCTGATGCAGCAAGCAATTGTCTTTTGTAATACACTCAGCGCATGCAGGTAGGCTTTGCTGCTGCTGCTGCAGAGGTTGCTGCTGCTGATCCTGCTGCTGGTCCTGCTGCTGCTGATCCTGGTGCTGCTGATCCTGCTGCTGCTGATACTACTGTTGCTGCTGCTGATGCTGCTGCTGCTGCTGATCCTGCTGCTGCTGATACTGCAGTTGCTGCTGCTGCTGCTGATCCTGCTGCTGTTGCTGTTGCGTGTTGAAGAGTATTTGGTTTAAATTGAGGTGTATGTGCAGCTGTTGAAACAAAAAGAAATAAATATATTTAATTTTTATTTTTATTTATTTATTTATTTATTTATTCTGTCTTTCTCTCTTTTCGCTGCTTTTTGCTTTTGCTGCCTCATTTGTTTTTCTCTGTCTTTGTTTGTTTTGCTTTAATATTTTATATTTATATTTATATTTATATTTATATTTATATTTATATTTATATTTATATTTATATTTATTTATAATTGTTTTTATTTTTATTTTTATTTATTTTTTGTGTTTGGCTTTCATCTTTGTTTTGCTGCAATTCGCTTGATAGTTTATTTAAACCTTTTAAAATATTTAAACACAAATACTCTAAACCCTAAACCCTAAACCCTAAACCCTAGGGTTTTAAACGCCTGTTAAATATTATATACATATATGTATATGTATTATTTTCTGTTATTCAATATAATATATATATATATATCTAAATAGATATATATACACATTGCTAGATAGATATATATCTGCATATATATATGTTTGTTTATCTGTCTATATATATATATATATATATAATAAATTAAAACAAAAGATTAAAATATTTATTTGTATTTGCAGGGCTGTGGATTTTTATTTACGCGAAAATTTATTTTTGTGTTCAATCTGTCACGGACAGATGCCGAGCAAGAAAAGGCTGAAGGAGTAAGCAATTAAATAGCAGTTGTTTAATCTTTAAATATATTTATCGTTTAAATAACTTCATTATTTAATAACTAAATATACAAATGTATACATATAATGGGTTTAGGGGTTAGGGCTTAGGGTTTTGAGGGTTTAGGGTTTAGGGTTTAGGGTTTAGTGTTCAGCGTTTAGGGTTTAGGGTTTGGGGTGTCTGTTCAGGTTTAAGCAGTTTGTGGAGGGGAAGACGCGCGTGTTGGTGACCACCGACGTTTGCTCGCGGGGCCTCAACCTCCCCAATGTTCAACACGTCAGCTGCTGCTGCTGCTGCTGCTGCTGCTGCTGCTGCTGCTGTTGCTGGTGCTGTTGCTGCTGCTAGTGCAGTTGTTGCTGCTGGTGCTGCAGTTGCTGCTGTTGGTGCAGTTGCTGCTGCTGCTGCTGTTGCTGATGCTGCTGCTGCAGTAGCTGCAGTAGCTGCAGTTGCTGCTGCTGGTGCAGTTGCTGCTGGTGCTGCTGCAGTTGCTGCTGCTGCTGCTGCTGGTGCAGTTGCTGCTGGTGCTGCTGCAGTTGCTGCTGTTGCTGCTGCTGCTGCATTTGTTGTTGCTGCTGCTGTCTGCTGATCTGTATGCATCTGACGGCAGTCTTGTTTTCAAGTGGATGCTGCTTGCATGTTATGCCTTTGCTGCTGCTGCTGCTGCTACTCTACTTGCTGCTGCTGCTTTTACTGCTGCTGCTTTTGCTGCTGTTCCTTTTGCTGCTGCTGCTGCTGCTGCTGCTGCTGCTGCAGGTGGTGATGTTTGGAATGCCGCAGCACTTCATCGATTATTTACACCGCGTCGGCCGCCTCAGCCACACGAAGAGCAGCGGCCAAATAACAGCACTTTATAAGAAGAAAGATAAACATTTGCTGCAGCAAATATTACAAGCAACTGCTGCTGCTGCTGCTCCTTCTCCTCCTCCTGCTCGTGCTGCTGCTGCTGCTCGTGCGGATGCTGCTGCTGCACCTGGGGCTACCGCTGCTGCTGCGCCAGGAATCGCACACCCGCTGCAGCTGCAGCAGCAGGGGATGCAGCAGCTGCAGCAGCAGCAGCAGCAGCAGCAGCCAGCACTTGCATCTGTTCAGTTTCTCAGCAGCAGAACGAAGAAGATCATTAAGCTGCAGCGAAGGTGGCAGGAGCTTCTCGCTATGAAGTCAGTTGCTGCTGTTGCTGCTGCTGTTGTTGCTGCTGCTGTTGCTGCTACCGCTGTTGCTGCTGCTGTTAGTGCACCTGCTGCTGCAGCTGCTGTTTCGTTTCGTCTTGTCGTTGATGTTGCTGCTCCCGCTTCGGCTTCTGCTGTTGTTAGTCCTGCCGCTGCAGCAGCAGCAGGAGTAACAGCAGCACATTTTGCTGCTGCTGTTGCTGCTGCTGCTGCTGCTGCTGCTGAGACTTGCTCTCTCTGTGCGTCTGTCTGCACTGGTGGACACGGTTCTGCTGCCAGCGCTCTTAATACTGTTGCTGTTGCTGTTGCTGTTGCTGCTGCTGCTGTGGCTTTAATGCTTCTGCTGCCCTTGCTGCGGCTGTTGTTGCTGCTGCTGCTGCTGTTGCTGCTGCTGCTGCTGCTGCAGGAACAGGAAGAGGAAAATAGGCGGGCGAAAGGCAGCGGGTTTATCTCCGCGTCGGGGCCTCGCCAGCCCTTCGAATAAACACTACTTAAAAAAGCTGCATTTCAAGTATGCTGCTGCAGCAGCAACAGCAGCAGCAGCAGGAACAACAACAACAGCAGCAGCAGCAGCAGCAGAAGGAAAAGTAGAAACAGCGGCAGCAGTAGCAATAGCAGCAGCATCAACATCAGCAGGACCTTGATAAACAGTGCAGCAGTGCCACGCCTATGCATCTGCTGCTGCTGCTGTTGCTGATGTTGCTTCCTGCTGCTGCTGCTGCGATCAGGATGAAGGCAGAGAAGAAGTTGGCGGAGCTGCAGAAAAGAGGCATCATCAGGAAGTCCCACAAACTACCCAGGTACTTGCTGCTGCTGCTGCTGCTTCTGCTGCTGCTGCTGCTGCTGCTGCTGCCTCTGGTTTCTTCCCTTTACTGCAGGCCGGGGCTCCTGCTGCTGCTGCTGCTGCTGCTGCTGCAACTTCTGTTGCTGCTGCTGGATTGGCGCTCTTGCAGATGCATCTGCTGCATCCACTTTTTATTGCTGCTCTTGCTGCTTTTGCTGTTGCTGCTGCTATTGCTGCTGCTGCTATTGCTGCTGCTGCTATTGCTGCTGCTGCTATTGCTGCTGCTGCTGCTGCTTCTGCTGCTGCTGCTGCTGCTTCTGCTGCTGCTGCTGCAGGCGTCCTGACAGCGTGGTAGAGCGGAGCGACGCGCAGCAAATTCCGAAGCTGCAGCGATCAGCAGATGGCAGCCTCCAAGTGATTGCATGCAGACGCAGCAGCAGCAAACAATTAAAGCTGAAGATGCAGAAAGAGGTGCTGCTGCTGTTGCTGTTGCTGCTTGCTGCTCTTGCTGCTGCTGCTGTTTGTGCTTGCTGCTCTTGCTGCTGCTGCTGTTGTTGCTATTGCTGCTGCAGTTGGTGCTGTTGCTGGTGTTGTTGGTTGCAACTGCTGCTGTTGCTGCTGCTGCTGCTGCTGCTGCTGCTGCTGCTGTTAGTGGCATTAGTTATTGTTGGGGTGTCTGCGCACCTCAGGCTGGCTGCTACGAGTCTGCAGACGAGACATTTGCTGTTTCTTCAAAGTGCTATAATAATAGCTTTAAACAAAAACAAAACAAAACCCCTCTCTTTTATTAATTGCTGCACTGCTGCAGCTTCCTTACAGACATCAAACGCTGCTCCTTGCTGCTGCTGCTGCTATAAATATATATATATATATAGTATAGATAAAGATATAGAAACAGATAAATAAATAAATGCATACATAAATAAATCCAGCGAATGTTTGTCCCGTCTGCATTTAATTAATTTTAAATTAAATTATTTCTTTAAAATATTTAAAGAGATCGTCGGCTGTCTCTCAAACAAACTGCAAAAATATCCATCAAACAATCTATTTAATCTGCCTCCTCAAACAATCAACTCAGTGGCTAGCTGTAGCTAGCTGTAGCTAGCTGAATGCCGAGCTATGGCTAGCTGTGACTCTCTATAGCTAGACATATAGCTAGCTATGGCTAGCTATGGCTAGCTATAGCTAGATGAGACTATCTATAGCTAGCTATAGCTAGCTATATGGCCAGCTATAGCTAGCTGTGTGGCTAGCTATATAGCTAGCTGTGTGGCTAGCTATATAGCTAGCTATATAGCTATATGGCTAGCTATAGCTAGCTATGTGCAGACGACTGGCTGAGGGATGTGTGGGGTGGGGACAAACGCAGGCTGAAGAAAATTTTAAATTTTAATTTGTTTATTTAAACCCTAAACCCTCATTATTATTATTATTATTTAAACCCTAAACCCTTATTATTATTATTAGTAGTATTAAAACCTAAACCCTTATTATTATTTATTATTATTATTATTATTATTCTTCATTGTTATTATTTAAACCCTAAACCCTCATTATGTAAACCCTACACTTTTATTCTATAAACCCCAAACCCTCATTATTATTACTATTTAAACACTAAACCCTTATTACTATTCTTATTTAAACCCTAAACATTATTATTAACCCTAAACCCTTATTATTATTTAAACCGTAAACCCTCACGCTTATTATTATCTAAACCCTAAAGCCTAAAGTCTAACTAAAGCCCTACGCTCTAGCTTGAACTCTAAACCCTTATTTAAACCCTAAACCCTAAACCACTATTTAAGAGTCATCAACGCTAAACCCTTATATAAACCCTAAACCCTAATATAAACCCTAAACCCTTATATAAAGCCTAAACCCTTATATAAAGCCTAAACCCTTATATAAAGCCTAAACCCTTATGTAAACCCCAAACCCTTATTTAAACCCTAAACCCTTTGACGCTTATTTATATTCTAAACCCTTAATTAAATCCTAAACCTTTACATAAACCCTAAACCCTTATTTAAACCCTAAACCCTTATCTAGACCCTAAACCCTAATTTGAACCCAAAATACTAAACCCTGATGTCTAAACCCTAAACCCTGATATATAAACCCTAAACCCTAATATATATAAACCCTAAACTTTAATATCTAAACCCTAAACCCTGATATATATCTAAACCCTAAACCCTTGTCTGTTTAGGGCTGAGGTCCCCCTAAGGCAAACGAATTAGTTAAAGTAAATAAAAATAAATAAATAAATAAATATAAATAAATAAATAAATAAATATAAATAAATAAATAAATATAAATTAATAAATATATAGTATACGACAAAAGACACGGGGCAGCAAAATATAAGGCCCGCCGACAAGCCCTCGAATTTGCTGCTGCTGCTGCTGCTGCTGCTGCTGCTGCTGCTGCTATTACTTCTGCTGTTGCTGCTGCCTCTATAACTGCTTCTTTCTTTGGATTAACACGCAGAAGCAAAGAGAATTAAGGAGAGCGATTGCTGCAGACAGCAGCAACAGCAGCAGCAGCAGCAATCTCAGCAGCAGCCTGATCGTAGAAGCTACACTGGCAGCAGCAGCAGGAGCAGCAGCAATTGCAGCAGCATCAGTAACAGCAGCAGCAGCGGAATCCAATTGAAACCACCGCAAACAACAGCAGCAACAACAGCAGCAGAAGCTACTGCAGCAGCAACGACACACTCTGTGCTGCAGGCGGGGGGCCCCCCTGCTGGAGGAGAACGACATGGCTGCAGCTGCTGCTGCTGCTGCTGCTGCTGCTGCTGTTCTTTTAGCTGCTGCTGCTGTAGCTGCAGATGTTGCACAAGGGGCATGCGAGCTCCTCCAGCGTATACGGGCGGTAGCAGCAAGCTAACAATGGAGGCATACACATCAGCAGCAGCAGCAGCAACGGCAGCAGCAGCAGTAGGAGCAGCAGCAGCAACAGCAGCGAGTTAGCAGCAGTGGCAGCAGAGACTGCGCACCTGCTGCGGAGCATGATCTGCCCCAGCTGCAGCCGCAGCAGCAGCAGCCGCAGCAGCAGCAGCTACAACAGCAGCAGCGGCACTGTCGGTCTTGCGCTGCGCAGAGTTGCAGTGCTGCTGCTGCTGCTGTTGCTGCTGCCTTTGCTGCTGTGGAGGACAGAAGCTGGCGCCGTATGCTGCAGCAGCTCAACCAGCAGCAGCAGCAGCAGCAACAGCAGCAGGGGGGTTGTGGGGTCCTGCTGCTGCTTCATTTCAGCAGCCAGGCAGCAGAAGGGGGCCCCTCCATGTTTTACTTTCGGTACCGCTTTGCTGCAGCACCAGGCAGCCTGCAGCAGCAGCAGCAGAGGCAGCAGCAGCAGCAGCAGAGGCAGCAGCAGCAGCAGCAGAAAGATCAGCAGCAGCAGCAGCAAAGATGCGCATTGCCTGCGTGCGGTAGGCGCGGGCGTCCTTACTGCTGCGGCAGACCATGCTGCAGCAAACAGCAGAAGGCAACATCAGCAGCAGCAGCAACAGCAGCAGCAGCAACAGCAACAGCAGCTGCTGCAGCAGAAGCAATGGCGGCTGCAGCAGCAGCAGCGTGAGGAGGAGAAACAGCAAAAACGAAGATCCGGGAGAGGAGCCCAGAGGAGAGCTGCTGCTGCTGCTGCTGCTGTACCGACATCGGCAGCAGCAGCAGCAGCAGCAGAAGCAGAAGCAAGAGAAGAAGCAGAGCGCGATGCTGCATTTGTGGCTGCCGCTGAGGAAGCAATAGAGACAGCTCAAACACCTACGGAGCTGCTGATGCTGCTGCTGCTGTCGAGCGACCTTGCTGCTGCTCCTGTTGCAGCAAGGAGCAGCAAGCTGTTGCGCATGGGTTCGCAGCAGCAGCAACAGCAGCAGCAGCAGCAGATAGAGCAGCAGCTGCTGCTGCAGCAGCACCAGCAGCAGCAGCAGAAGCTTGCAAATGCTTTGGCTGCAGGGGACACTGCTGCACTGCAGCAGCAGCAGCAGCAGCCTTCGCTTCCCTTATATCTCCTTGCACGCTGCATGCAGCGCCTTGCGCGGCTGCTGCAGCAGCAGCCGCAGCAGCTGCAGCAGGAAGCAGCAGCAGCCACGTACCGCAGCAGCAGCAGCAGCAAAGAGCACCGAAGGAGGCTGACGAGGTGTCTAACGATGCTGCTGCAGGAGATCTCCCTGCATGCTGCTCAGCTGCTGTCTGAACCGCAGCAGGAGCAGCAGCAGCAGCAGCAGCAACATCAGCAGCAACAGCAGCAGCACGAACGTCTCTCTTTGCTGCTGTCCATCACACGCTCCCTCTATGACTCGGGGTTGGCAGGGCCACCAAGTATGCAGCAGCAGCAGCAGCAGCAGCAGTTGCTGCTGCTGCTTCCACATGCTGTGCTGCAGCAGCTGAAGCCGCTGCTAGCAACCACTGAGCTGCTGCTGCGCCGCGCGGTTTCTGTACACCTGAAAGAGATGCAGCCGCAGCAGCTAAGCGAAGTGCTGCTGCTGTTTGAGTCTCTCCGCAGCAAACAGCAGCAGCATTTCAGGCAGCTGCTGCAGCG